GGGATACCTATTGCGAGGAATATTTTTCTCAGTAGGAGAAAATTTTGAAGAGCTAATGACACTTTTTCCTTTTAAATGTTCTAAAATTTATTTTGCACCTTAATGTTAAATAATCACATATTGATCCTTTATTATTCAAACTTGTATGTAGTAATGTGTCCCAATTAGGAATTGAAAAAGTTTCTGTTTCCTTTTCCTCCATAAAGATATAAAAATATGATCTGTTTACTCCTGGAAGATTTTAAAATTGAGTGAGGTTTTACACTAGAACTGGCAAAAAGAGACTTATTGAAATGATTTTAATAAGTCCTAGGGTCAAATTGAAACAACTGAAAGTTTAAGAGTATATAAAAAACGGTATCATAGTTTAAAGGGTCATTTATGATATCCTTACAATTATTAAAAATGGTGTCTAAGAGTAAGTCTTTTTAATTTGCTTGGTTATTGTTGCCATAGGTGATGCCTAATTTTTTTTTTTTTTGTCAGAGGGCAATTACTATGTTACTTGTAAATGTTTGGTAATCGATATACAAGTCCTGTTTATGCCAAAAATCCTCCTACATAAAATTCAAAATATTTAAATGTTCTTTGTTTCCTACAATTATTCAATTTCAAAATTTAGAACTTTTTACTCGGTATATCAAATTGTTTAGGAATAATCTCTTTTCCTTTCCAACTACGTACCTACCTCCTTTCTTCCCCCACCATGCTTAAATTATTGAGTAAAAGCCATTGAATTTTCGCCCGAGTTGGTATTTCAAATTTTCATTTAAATCTTCACTTCTTCACTCCTCCAAAAGTTCAATCGTTTCTGCAAATTTGAGCATCTTAACCTCAATGTTCTACAGGTGCTTCAGACTTTTAGTGTCTATATCTAAATTAAAAACATTACTTCAAAACTTAAGATACATTTTGATGTGTTGTGGCCTCTTATCCTAAGTTTCGACTTCTATGTCCACCATATCCTTTTGTGCATCCACTTTTTTAAGAAAACAAAGTAAAACATTTCACCTTAAAAAACATTCAACTATTAGCTCATTTCATATAATTAAAAGGGTTAATTGTAAGTTACACTCCGAAAGATAGTTCAAATCTCAATTTAGATCTTCAAAAATAAAAAAATCTCAATTTGTACCCTCAAAGATAGAAATTTGTATCAATGTGCACCCTCAAACATAAAAAAATCTCAATTTGCACCCTCATAGATAGAATTTTGTATCAAGGTGCACCTAAAATTAAATTTATAAATTATACCTAGATCTCTTCATGCTTGTCACTTAATCATTTGGACCCCTTCACATTTAGAATATTACTCCTACATCTCATGACGTTTATGCACGTGTAACACGTAATCCCTTTTCGTGTATATTGATTACTGTAACCGTTAAAAAATATGATTTTATCTTAATAAAAAATTATAATTTCATATTACCCTTATTTTGTGGGTCCGATATAATCTAAAGTTCAAAATCAAGCTTATCATTTGATGTCCAATAGAATGTAGATATTTATATAATATTTTTTATATCTAATGCAATATATCACTCAATGTGCAACCTTTTATTCTATTAGACATTCAAATGGTAAGCTTGATTTTGAACTTTAGAGTATATTGAACCCATAAAATAAAGGGTAATATGAAATTATAATTTGTTATTAGGATAAAATCATATTTTTTAACGGTTATATTAACATATATCAACGAAAATGGATTACATGTTATACGTGCACAAATGTCATGAGATATAAGAGTAATATTCTAAATGTGAAAGGGTCCAAATGATTAAGTGGCAAGTATAAGGGGATCTAGGTATAATTTATCAATTTAGTTTTAGGTGCATATTGATACAAATTTCTATTTTTGAGGGTGCAAATTGAGATTTTTTGTCTTTAGGGGTGCACATTGATACAAATTTCTATCTTTGAGGGTGCAAATTAAGATTTTTGATCTTTGGGGGTGCACATTAATACAAATTTCTATCTTTGAGGGTGTAAATTGAGATTTTTGATATTTGAAGGTGTAAATTGAGATTTGAACAATCTTTCAGGGTGTAATTTACAATTAACCCTAATTAAAACCTTGTTTTATGTGTAATCTTGTGTAGGATGTTTCACTGTTTTTGCACATTTATTTGGTTTGCGGCACAAGTAAGATATATTATCTTGATAAATGCTTAGATAATTCTTTGCTTTCAAAGGAAAACAGATTGATGTTTTAGCTGTCAACTCGCATCGACCGAAAGCTTGCTTCTCTATCATCTCCATCCTTTGACCCTTATATCTTTAAAGTAAATGATCACCTACGCATAGAAAACAAGAAGGCTTACGAATCAGAAATGCTCGCAATTGGTCTTTATCATTGTCGTAAAAGTAACCTACAAATGATGGAAAAATACAAACTATGGTACCTACAAGGGTTGCTTAAACGAAAAAATGAGTCGAGCGATAAATACGTCGTAGAAATGCACGGATTGGAAGAGACTACACGTAACTGTTATGCAAAATCCATTAAACTAAAGAAGGATAAGTTTGTGGAAATGATGTTTACTTGACGGGTTGTTTATCATTGAGATATTTCGACAGTTCAGTTATGGACAAGTTGGAGATACACACGACGGTAGTTTTGAAATTTCTCAGATTTGGAATGCTATATTGCATGATTTACTGTTATTTGAAAATCAATTTCCTTTTGATATCCTTGTCAAGTTATTTGACATGGCAAAAGATTCAAACCAACAAAGCGCACCAGACAACATAGTTGACATAGCCCTCTCCTCTTTAGCTAAATTGGTTCCATATTTTGGGAATTTTCCTCCTTCCAAGATTCCACCAAATAATGTGGATCATCTTCTGGGCCTCGTACACGACAGCTGGTGTTCCTCATTTGCTGAAATTGTGTCCTCTCCTGGGAATATTTATGCAAGCCAAGGAAGTAAATGGAGGGTCATAAAATGTGCCACAGAGCTTCAAGAAGTTGGGATTAAATTCGAGACGGCTACAGAAAGTTCCTCTTTGTTTGATATAAAGTTCAAAAATGGAATCATGAGAATTCCTCCACTGCAAATAGATGATGATACAGAGTGGTTCTTCAGGAACATGGTTGCATACGAGCAATATAAACGGGGAACCAACGCACACTATGTGACTGACTATATGACTTTTATAGATTGCCTCCTCGATTCCCCAAAGGATGTCAAAATACTTCGTGATTGTGGAGTTATTGATAACGGCTTGGGTGATGATAGAGTCGTCTCTAACATGTTCATCAAAATGACCAATCATGTCAACGTATGTGCTGCAAGGTTCTGTTACTCGAAAGTTTTTAATCGCGTTAACGAGTACTGTGGACATCCTTGGCGTACATGGATGGCTAATTTAAAGCACAATTATTTCAACAACCCGTGGTCTATCATTTCAGTCATCGGTGCTTTTGTGTTGTTGGTACTCACTGTGATACAAACTATTTATTCTATCTTACATGGCTAGCTTTAAGTCCGATTTGATTTGCATTACATGCCCATGACCCCCACGGTCAATAAATATTATGTTAGAATAAGTTTTACTGTTCCTTCTGTCAACCTGTTGTTTCGCAAATGTTGTGTAGAATTTGTGATCAATTTGAATGTCTTTTAAGCCATTGGTTGGAGCAAACTTTAAGGCTGGTTTTTATGGAGTTGTAACTTAAAAACAATATATTTAGAATTGAGTTGAGTATGCTATTTAACAGTCAAATGGAAGTTCTGATAATTTTGTATGACTTAGAATTGGCTAGTTGTGCATCATGTGCTATGAGCAAAAAACACATATTTTTAACAGTAATAGTATTCAGATATAATTTATTAACCTAATAATCCAGCACATTCATTGATTGGTAATAAGTTCCAATCAATAGTAGAATTCATTATCAATTCAATAACACTAATTAATTAGGTCAACGAAGTAACTCAACAAACTTAGGTCGACAAAATAACTCAGTAATTTAGGTCGAAATAGCATTGCCCGGCCCACTAGCATTCCTTAGCGGTGGGCCGCACATATAATTATCTAGCATGATGTATCTCGATCCTCTTAATTTTGTCAATTTGACCAATTTCAATCATGCCCTTTTAAGTTTGGTAGATCCTAAAAATAGCCTCTATAGTTGTCATGAAAGGACCTAATGAATCAACATGGATTGTTGAACCAATTCAAATTGGAAAACATTTAGAGTTAAGGGAACCTCTTTTTTTTTTTTTTTGGTCTATGAACATGGATCTTGATTCTCAAAATTTTGGTCAAGTTCGATAGCGTGTTCTTTTACAATGCTTTTAAAAGTCTTACGAGTCTAGCCTAAAAGAGACAATATTATAAGTTAACAATCCAAGATATTGCGAAAATAAAATTGAAGAATTCTATATGTCTACCCATGTCAACTATGCAGATCCAACACGTAGTAAACATCTTCACTCTCACAAAAGGTAAGATATTGCACGAGGGAATTTAGTGCTAAAAAAATCTTCATGTGAGCTCCTCCTCTTCCACATTAGATTCCACAACAATTTTTCATATGAAAAACATATCTTCACTTTCACAAAAGCAACATACTGGCTTTGTGATAGTCACAAAAGCAACATACCTGGCATTGTCTTCGCTATCCACTCGCATTGACATAAAGCTTGCTTACTTTTCCATATCCACCCTGTAGCCCTTATGTCTTCAAATTAAATGACTAACAACGTAGGGAAATTAAGAAATTCTATAAACGCTAGGAATAGTAACTCCGGTCACCGGAGAAACACTGACGTTTGATTTTTTGCCGGAATAAATGCCAAATTAGATTTATCGGTGTTTATAGGCTTTGCTGGCATTTATATGGACTTTGCCAATGTTCATAAATGTCGGCTATTTCAAAATTTCTTACAGTGTTGTGGTAAATATGTCAGCTGTTCACCTCAGAATTATTAAATGGAACCATCAATTCAAAATTGACTACCATTATGTCCGAGATTAAGTTGCTGCTAGATTGTTTGGGGTTAATTAAGCATTTTGTTTCCACAATGCATTTCCTTTTGGGATATTTGTCTCATGCATCATATGTGTTATGTCTTCACCAACCAGGGGTGCCAATTCTGTGCAAGTTATAAACACTCGGCCCGAGTTTAATTTGAACCCGAACCTTACTCAAACCATTGAACTCGAGTACTGGTAATGATAGTTTTTTGAATTCGGATTACTTCAATTGTGTTGAAACTCATGTTACACAATTTGGACTGTAATTTGAGCTAAATTCAGGCTCAACTCAAGGTGAAACTTAAATTTGATTCTTAGGTTACACAACTCAGACAAAATTTAGATTCAATTCGGGTTTAACTTTGATTCACTAATTTAAGTTGGGCTTGGGAATCTGAGACTCCAACCTAGTTAAAATGGTTTCCGGAATTAAAATGGTTTGAGTTTTTTTTCCCAAACCTAACTTATGTATTGAAAATATTTTACCAAATAGTTTGAGTTGGGCTTAGATTGAGTTCTGGGTACCCGAATCATCAACTACAAACCAAAACTAGTTCCCTTGGATGATGTAATCATCACATCATTTGGTCAATAAATTATGTCAATTTTCTAAGTCTTAATATCATTATTTATTTTTTATTATAAATAAATCAATCGAAATATTTATCATAGACAAAGTATAAGTACAATTAAAATGTTTATTGTAATTAAAATAATTAAAATGTCCATTGTAGTAAATAAAAATTATTAAAAAAAAGTAAATACAAATTATACGATTAACGTTAAGTCATAATTATAAATAATATGAGATGTTGGATCACAATTCTAAGTGATTTAAGCCATTATTATTCTGCTTTTATCTCTTGGAGAAGACTAAGGTACCAAAAACATTAAGGTAACATATCTTCTAATTTTATAAGTTTTGATATAAATTAATGAATTTATTTACAACAAAAAAAAATGTACAACTTTTTGGATTGTGTGAAAACTTTTAAAGTTAAGAGTTATTATTTTTTTTGGCCAAGGAATTATTTTTGTGATAATTTATTATAGATCCTTAACATTTTTAGGTTGTATTGCGAGTTATCACAAAAGTGATAAATGACTTTCAAAAGATTTAAACAAGAAAACATGAAGTTTATACTGGTGGTACGGTAATGAATTTTTTTTTTTGGTCTTCTCCTTATCTGTTGGCCTGCTTTATTATACAAATATCTTATTTCATCATTTGAATTAAATTCCAGCCACCTTTTGGTTGTGGCCACTGCCTTCGTCATCATTGATGTGTTTTGATTTGGAAGCATTGGATACATTAAAATCTTATCACCACCCATTTCTTATCTAGTTTTGAATCAGTTCATAGACTTACACGGTTGAGAATCTTAATCTATTACTGGATAATAGATTAAGGATCGAATGAGTCGAGAAATAGTCGTGTAATGGAGTTAATTGAAAGTACTTGATTCACTAACTTAATTCTGAGATAATTGAAGGATAAATGAGCAATTGGAGCTAAATGGGTGGATAACCCTAGGATCTCTTCTCTGCCCTAGCCACACTCTATGTGCTATAATAAAAGGGAGAGGCCTATTTTTAGAACCCCACATGGCCGGCCGTTTAAAAACTAATTTATTTTAGTATCGTATCCAAAATTATAAGAAAATGGTGCGAATTTATAATAAGGGTATTTTAAAGTCGGTACACTAAATTATACATAATTGTACAAAAGTACATAGAAAAAAAAATGTGTTATAAAAAAGTACACAATTGAGATATAAAGACTGAACTACCCATTTCCTAAAATTTACTTTCCTAAAAACGGTTTTAGGAATATATCTTAATCAATTAATTAGATAGACAATGATAATGGTTAACCACTAGAACTTAGGAACATTTATTGGCAAAGCGCTTCATCTTCGAAAAATGTTTGGGCTTCTTGTTCCTCTCCAAAAATCGCTTCATCTTCCTCAACAATAAGCCCTAAAATAGTTTTCTGAACATCTATAAGGTTTCATATTTAAAGGAAAAATCCTACTATTCAGCCCATTTGATATAAGATCATCAACAAAATCTATTTATTGAAGATTTGTTCGTCATTTGAAGATACGTACGAATTTCGGCATTTGAAGACTAGAATCAATTGTTGAAAGTTGATTGTTGGCCTGTGTGAAATACAATGTTTCTGCCATATTAATTTATTATGTGTGGATAAACTGTGTGTATCTTTTAATTGTTGACTATGTTTTTCTCATGGTGCAACAAATACAGTGTAACAATACATTGCAAACACTGTAACAAATACAGTATTCAGTGGTTTTGTAGATGTGGTAATAAATTCAAAACAGAGCTGGACTGTTTGAATAAAGTTATTTGCAAATATATGTTTGACAAAATGTAATAGTACAATATTTTATGTAAGTTTATTGTTACACTAATATGGTGTTGGTATATTAAAAAACAGAATAATTACCTTTAAAATGACTGACATAAATCTAATGGAGTCATGAATTCAAACCTTGTAATTGTTTAGATTAAATGATAAAGATGAAATAATTTTTCAGACTTGCACTGATAAATGGCTTCAAGGTTGAAAAAGAAGAAGATAACCGATGATATTGTCGCAAAATTTAAAATTCAAACCAACTAATTTATCTTCAAAATAAACGGAAGAATCAAATCTTTTATTAAATTAGGAGATTTTTAATGCATATATCTATTCTCAAAATAAATGGAAGAATCAAATCTTCCATTAAATTAGGAAATTTTTAATGTATACATATAATCTGAAAAAAAAAATCAGTTTTTAAAAATAAATCGCATGAAATAAGGGAGGACACAAATGTCAAAGAAAAATCTGAAAATTTCAAATTATGTACTTAGACATAATTAAGAACTAAAATAAAGGATTTCCTTACTTTACGTTTTTTTTTGTGTACTTTTTTACAATTAAATCTAATTTAGTGTACCTCTTCCAATTTACCGTTATAATAAAATGGGATTGTTGGAATTGGTCCAAACATTTTAAGATCTCTCTTAATTTTTTCAGCCCCAAAACTTAATCTCATTGAGTTGTAACATGTATTTTTTTGTAACCAGGGGCGGCTCAACTGTATTAAAAAAAAAAAAAAAACTTGGGTCTTAGGCCCCAAATTTTAGAATGCCGCATAATTTCTGTACTAGAAAACATTTTTTCACCTTGAAAGTTGTAATAATTGTTGCACTTTACCCCTTGAAAAATTTAAAAATTGCACTTTACCTCAATAATGGATTGTCTCAGGTTAGATGTGTGGTATATTGGATGTTAATAGACGAAAAAAGAGATGTTTTTTGCTAATTGAAACAATTGCTACTGTTAAACAAATAAGAATATAATGTGAGGTATTTAACCTTTGATATCATAGGTGATGACTGTAAGCCCACCACGTCCCATTTGGCTTTACTCTATGTTCAAATAACAAAAGTGACTCAGAATGTTTCAATTTGTTTCTTTGAAAAAA